TGGGTGGATCTAGCTCCATGCAGCTGTATGCCTGAGATTCCTGTTTTCCTGCAGGTTGTTGTATATGGTGGCTCTCATGTTCCTGCCCCGTCATTCTGTCACATGGCCTATCCCTTTCTAAGCTTCTGGAATATTCTACTTCAAGCACTTCCACCTTAAAGGTGGAACCTTTTTCATTACTTTAGAACTACCCAAATAATCCAGAATCATCTGTTTAAAAAATTATTTATTTTATGGTATATGGATGTTTTACCTGCATATGTCCATGTACCACACAAGTGCCTGGTGCCTGTGGAAGCCAGTAAAGGACATCTGATCCCTTGGAACTGAAATTGTGAATAGTTGTGAGCCATTAGTCAGCACTAGGCCTTGAACTTGGGTCCTTTATGTTAAGTTTCAAATCCAAGACAAATGGCTGAGGTGCCTATTTAACATATCAAAGCAGACCAAGTTCTCCCAGCATCCCTCAGTCCCTACCTGTTACAAGGGTCCTCCTGGCTGGTGTACCCCACCCCCTCCCCTAAACTTCTCCAGCCCAGAGGCCAGGCTGCCCTTCCCCCAGCTGCCCTTCTCTATATAATCCAATCCAACCATTTTGGTTACCTGGTCTTTTTTTTTTTTTTCGAGACAGGGTTTCTCTGTGTAGCTTTGGAGCCTGTTCTGGATCTCACTCTGTAGACCAGGTTGGCCTCAAACTCAGAGAGATTCACCTGGCTCTGCCTCCCAAGTGCCTGTGTCACCACTGCCCGGCCCATTTTAAGAATACTTGATGAACAACTTCGATCACATCTGCAAAGACTTTTTCAGCAGAGTGTACCTATTCAGATTAACATGAATACAGGTTTTGGGAATTTGAGCACCAAATGTGTGTGTGTGTGTGTGTGTGTGTGTGTGTGTGTGTGTGTGTTGTTTTGTTTTAAGACAAAGGTCCTTACTGTTAGTTTCCATGTGGTAGCAGCCTGCCTCTGCCACCAAAGCAAAGTTATGCCATCACCTGTCGCCAGGTGCCTCTCCACTGTCAGCTACGTGACATATGTACCCTTTAAAAGTGCCCGCCAGGCACAGCTCACTTGCTCTCTTGCCTCTTGCTCCTCTCCGCCTCTTCCCTTTCCTCTCCGTCTCTTGTTCTCTTGCCTCCTGCTCCTCACTTGCCTTCTCTCCTCCTTCCTCATGTCTCTTCCTTTTCCTCCCAGAGTCTGTCTGCCTGCCTCTCTCCTGTCCCCACTCCCCCACTCCGACACGACACGGCCTTTCACTCTCCCCCTCTCCCCCTCCCCTTCAGTAAACCTTTTGTACTGACTCTGTTGCGCAGTGGTGGTATGTGTGGTATGTTTGCTTAGTGGCAACCACTTTGCCTTCCTTTTTTTTTTTTATCATTACACTTACTATGCAGCTCTGCCTGAAGTGGTTCTCACTCTGTAGCCCACAGTAATACTCCTGCTTCAGCCTCTCTGAGTGATGGTGACCGACACAGGGATGGTAGATGCCCATTAGTAGTGGAGACCTAATATTGCAAGCTACTGAATACATAAGAGTTAATCCAGTTGGGCTGGTCGATCACCTAGCTAATGGACAATCCCTCAGAAAAGTGGGGCCACACCTAGGAAGGTGGCTTCTCCTTAAGAGACAATAGAGAAATGGGTGGGATAATTCCACCTTTAATGACACGCTGTACTTTTCTTTCCCCCAAGTCCCCACAAGCCCCCATCCTTTCCATTGGGTCTGCCTGAAAGGATGAAAGGGCGCTGGTGGGTCGGCGGGCGCGGCGGAAAGGCGGAAAAGTTACGAGCCATGGCTACGACTACCAGAGTTAGAAAGAGCTTTATTAGAAAGAAACCAGGCCTGGAGAGACAGAAAGATGGCGGGAGCAGAGCAGAGAGGAAACAGAAAAGAGGGGTGGGGGTGGGGGGGTCTGTGTGCAGCTTTTTAAGGCGGGGACACAGTCGCCTGCTGATGACATAAGGCGCCAGACAAGACCCCCGAGCCGCGCATGTACGAAATCCTAACACTGCCCACCTTGCTGATGCACAATTTTTGTTCCTTTTTGGTCTTTTTCTCTCCAACACTTTCCAGAGCCTAAATCCACATTTTTCTGATACTTTGGGCTTCCTTATCTTTCTCTAAAGCTCCTGTCCCTGTCCACATGTCTGTCCACCAAGTGGCTGATTTCCGTGCTGGTTTAACTCAAACAATACAGCTGGTTTGTTTTCTTTCTCTCCTCCGGGCATTTATGCCACGCCTGTCCCAGTCGGTTTTATTACTATTATTTTTTAACTCTAATAAATTAGTCTTCTTTGAATAAACTTTTCCTGCCTTTTGAATCTTTAATTAGTTCAAAAAATCCATTCCTACATCCCTAGATAGTATCAATAGGGTTTACAGATGTACAGCAGTAGGTTGGGTACCAAGTCTTAGAAGGGTATTTTTAGAATCCAGACTTCTTGCCAGAATAGTTTGGTGATGCCTCATAGGCTTACAGGATGGTAGCCCAGGATAGAGCTATACCTGTGTGTTCCTGTAGAAGGCTGTGGGGTGGAGGAGACAAATCACATGACAGAAGGTGGTACAGTCTGAAGTTAGGGTAGACCCTGGTGGCATAGCAGTCCAGTAAGAAAGTGAGGGTATAGAGAGGGGGTCCCTGAAGCTAGAGGGGAATGAGCAAGGAGAAGCCTGTCCAGTATGAAGGAGGTAATTCAGTGGGGGGAAGGCAAAGTCTCCTTCTTGAGCTTAGAATCTGAACAGAGGTAAAGATGCTAGACCATGATGCTAGGTCATTTTGCTATTTGAACTCAGGGTCTCAAGCATGCTAAGCCACGTCCCCAGCTTTTACTTACTTAGGAGGGTTTTGGTTTTGTGTGTGTGTGTGTGTGTGTGTGTGTGTGTGTGTGTGTGTGTGTGTTTTATGAACAGGTTCTTACAGCTGAGGTTGACTTAAATTCCCAATCTTCAAGTTTCTCTCTCTCAAGTGATAGGATTACAGACATTCCTGGCTGTTATAACTTAGGTTATTTTGTCTTGCCAGGCGGTGGTGACACCCACCTTTAATCCTAGCATTTAGGAGGCAGAGGCAGGTGGATCTCTGTGAGTTCGAGGCCAGCCTGGTCTACAGAGGGAGTTCCAGGATAGGCACCAAAACTACACAGAGAAACCCTGTCTCGAAAAACAAAACAAAACAAACAAAAAATTTAGAGTATTTTTCAGACAACATCTTGTGTTGCCCAGACTGGGCTCAAACTCTGATATATGGAGATGACCTTGAACTTCTGACTCTCCTGCCTCAATCTCCTAAGTGCTTGGATTACAGGTGTGACTTCTGTGACGTTGAGGATCAGACCCAGGGCCTCTGAATGTTAGGCAAGCACTCAAGCAACTGAACTATATTCCCAGCACTAGATTTGGGTTCTAATAAGGTTTACCTGGCACACACTTCACCAAACTTAAAAAAAAAATAACTTGCTTATCTTTATTTTATGTGCATTCGTGTTCTAGCCTGCATGTATATCTATGTGAGGGTGTCAGATCTTGGAGTTACAGACAACTATTAGCTGCCATGTGTGTGCTGTGAATTGAACCCACGTCCTCTGGAAGAACAGTCAGTACTCTTTTTTTTTTTTTTTAAGATTTATTTATTTATTATTATGTATACAGTGTTCTGTTTGTATATATGTCTGCACGCCAGAAGAGGGCACCAGATCTCATTACAGATGGCTGTGAGCCACCATGTGGTTGCTGGGAATTGAACTCAAGACCTCTGGAAGATCAGTCAGTGCTCTTAACCACTGAGCCATCTCTCCAGCCCCCCTTACCAGACTTTCAAATACGTCTACAACATAGCTATCCGACATCTGCCCAGGATGGGGAACAAAAATCCTGACATCTTCCTGAGGCACCAGGTCTGTTAGCCTCACCAGTACTAGGTAGGTACATGGGGACCTAGGGCTCTCTGCATCTCTCCAGCCCTACTCCCTGGTACCTGGTTGGCCTTACATGGTGGCTTATTGCCCCCAAGAATGGAAGGCCAATCCATCACTTGATAGGTTTGGTTCATGGGTGCCTTGGACAACAAAAGGACCACTCCGGGGGCCTTTTTGGAGGACGGCTGTTCTCTCTGCCTAGGTGACTGGTCTCTGCTGTTTGGTGTCTGACGACTTCCCACCCCATTTCATGTCCTACACTCTATATTCTGATCTGTGGCCAAGCTGAGGCATTGATTCCACAACTATTCATTTATAGAGCGCTGAATTCCTGGGGGTCTGAGCGGGGCGAGGTGGGAGAACCAAATGAGGATGCTTCCTTGGGAAGGCGGGCCTGTGTTCTTCCAGGCGACTGCAGGGGAGTCCTGTAAAGCGTCCTCATCTGGAATGGGAGCATGAGAAACTCAAGAGAATCTTTCTCTCCAGAGAGAATCTTTCTCTCTGGGGTAGGAGAAAGGACACCCGTGCAGGTCTGGGTTCGAGCGCCCTCTCCAGTTCGGTTGAGAGTACCGAGGGCGTGGCCAGAGGATTGATTGACAGCTCACTCATATCAGCAAGGCGACGACGGAAGCGTGCTCAGGCCCACAGATCCCTTGCAGCTCCGCCATCCCCAGCTTCGGCGATTTTGGTTCTGACGCGGATTTGGTTCTGGCCCAATGACTCCCTAGTCTTAATAGAAACACCGGAAACGTGTTCCCGACTATCGTTCCGCCGGCGCCGCGGCCATCGGTTCCGTTTCCCGGCCCGGAAGTGCGGCCTTCAAGTTCACAAGCCAGGAGGCAGCAACTGCAGGGCCTGGTGCCTGAGGAGTCTGAGGTGGGGTCGAGCGGGCATCCCCCTGCCTCAGAGTCAGAGGGAAGGCCGGGGCGTGCTGGGGGAGGGACGCCCGCGTGAGGATCGGTGCACGCGTTGCGGACGCGAGAGGGCGCTGCAGGATCGGGGCAGGACGCGGGCAAGGGTGCGGAGGCGGGAAACAGTGGGTGCCGTCGTCGCGGGCCTGAACGGGGCTCTGGCACAGGGTGGGAGAGAGACAGGTTGATGGAGCAAGGTGCCTGGCCTGGGTGGGGATGTGGTGGCGAGAATGCAGCAGTAGATGTGGCAGAGTGTGCCTTTGTTATGGGCCATCCAGAAAGGTCCTGCTGCATCTGAGCAGCACGAGCCCTCCGGGAAGTAGGTCCAGGGTGGGTTTGAGGAGTTCAGGACCTATGGATTGGCACACAGGCTGAAAAAGGAGGCCGCTGGCAAAGGCAGGTGCAAAGCCTTGGTCCCTTCGGAGAATCATCCATCATCAGAGAGGACCCAGATAAACTAGGTTAGCAGGCTCCCTCTGGCTGTCGCGTGAGGGAAAGGCCCGGAGGTGGGGATGTGGAAGGGACTTACAAGGTGACTTCCAACAGTCCAGGCCAGTAGTCACTGGTACAATGTGTAAGATAATCGGAGAGAAAGGGAGGAATCAGCCGCGACAAAGGGAAGGGCGCGTTTTCGTAAAGAATATAGAAACGTTGAGTCTGAGATCTCAGTAGCCCTTGTGTAGGGGTAGGATTTAATGGGGCCCTAATCTGGAGCCAAGGCCCTTAAGAGATAGATGTTAGGGTGTATACTGTGTCTTGATTCTCTCCCTTAGAGCAGAGTTGTATACAGTCTGATCCAAGTGTAACATCTTTATTTGTTAAATAAAGAAACAGGCACAGAGACCTGGAATTATCTACTTGGTGGGTAACTGGCAGATCTCAGCTTCCTAGCTCGTGTGTGTGTGTGTGTGTGTGTGTGTGTGTGTGTGTGTGAGAGAGAGAGAGAGAGAGAGAGAGAGAGAGAGAGAGAGAGAGAGAGAGAGAGA